ATAGCTAAATTCGATGTATGGACAAAGAACTCTACATATAGGCCAAGCCCAGATTCTTTCACAGCTCCAATCATATTTCTTGCATTGTCAGTTATCACAGCTACACACCCATTAAAATGATCAAGGTTCCACTTCATCTACAGCATCAGTAAGCATGTGACCAACATTTACTTTAGTAGAAGACTGTAGAAATGGGTTTGTCATTTTTTCATCTATCTTTTATATAGTGAGCTGTTATTGTGATGTAACTTTCCACTGTTCTCAAAGCCCATCCATCATGAGTTGTAGCCACTATTGAAGCTATATTTAATTCCTTCAGTAAATTTGATTTGGTATCAGCATATATGTTTGGTATCAGTGCTTTACTGAAATATGTTCTAGATGAAATGTCATACCTTGGTTCCAGCACACTGATTATCTTTGTAAAGCCAAGATTTTCAATAATAAAGCAAATCCTCAGATCCTTTACAACAAAATTTCCAATATGTTTTATGATTAGCTGTGCTCTGGAATTTAAAACTAAGTATGGATTTGAAAGCAGCATATAAATCAATTTGACTTACTTTTTGTTTCCCTTTTGTAGCATCTTTTACCATTTAAGATACAAGAAAATCTTTGATTTCAAATCCTCTTTCATTACAGGGTGTTTCTAATGAATATTTGTGGCCAAGTTTGTTGTGCTACCAGTATAGCACATGAATGAGTGTAGTAATGGATTTATCAAAAATCCTCCTACCTTAACATGATATTTCATAAGAAAAACCAAACTGCTTCCACACTGCCAACTTAAAGTTCAATTCCAGTTCAATTTTCATGATCCATTTTATAGTAGTTTCATGTTCATGGCTGATCGCAATTTTGAATCTTGTTTGAAAGTGAGACAAGAATACTCAGAATAGCAAGAGAAGTCAAGGGAAACAACATGGATACACCCACATTTAGGTTTGGTCTGCTATATGTTATTGAAGTTCAAAACAGCATTTATAGATATATATACACACACATATGCATGTCTTTCATACTGAATCAAGATATTATGCTATTGAATCATCATAATTCATACCATAGCAAAAAATACCATGATATATGAAGCACTAGTTAGTAAAGGCTAGGTAAGTATACAAATCTTCAGTAAAAATACTTTATTAAAAAAGTGTTTGTCTAAAACACTTATGTTTACTAATAATTTGCCAAATTTTGTAAAATACACTTAGTATATTCAGAGTTGTAATATGTATAGTTTCATGGTTACAAGGTTGGTCAAAATGACCAAGCCCATGTGCACAGAGTTAAGAGAACGAGATGTAACATTTAAAGAAAAATTAAAAACAAAAATAAATCTATTGAAGACAAGATCTATGAAATTATTGGAGAAGTACAAAGGAATTACAACTACAAAATTGAAGAAATGCAAAAAGGTTATAATGACAATATTTAAGAAATACAAAAATACTGCAATGACAAATTGAAGAAGTACAAAAAGACACAACAGCAAGATCAATGAGGAAGAAAAAAAACCTCAATGATAAAATAAACATTTGGAAAATGAACCAGTAAATGCAAATATCAAACAAGCCACACATCTTTCTGCATCCACCCAATATTTCTAACCTAAGACATTATTTACAATAAAATATGTAACAAGAGAATCTATTTCGTTCACTCTTTTTACCACTACTGTTGTGCCATCTGTCAAGGTAGGATCTTCCTGGACTACTCCCACTACATCACCAACAAATATATTTTCATAATTTAGCTGGACAGCTCAACAACAATGCACAAACAAGAAACCAATGGACTATGATGAAAGGTACCATGGGAGGCATATCACGCTCAGTTTGAAATAATTTACTGAATAAATAGGTGGAATAATCAATAAGCTATTCATCTTGCTACCCATTAAAAAAAATCCACTTTAACAACATGAAGGAGCCTTACACATGAAACCTGTAACAACTACCAAGCAATGGTAGCAGTCTTATCCAACAGATTCAAAATGACACACCAGAATTAAGCATCTAGAGCAAAGTTGTTAGACTGGGTACAGAGGAAAGAACAGCCCTTAGCCAAGTTTGCAAAAGATTTGGAAAGGCTTGCCAAGTTATCTTACTAAGATGCTCCATGTGAAATGATCATTCATGATCAATTTAT